TCAATTTAAGTTTTTTCCTCAAATTTAGCACTGCAATGGCTTGGGCTGAGGCAACACCATGAGATGCAGCAGACCCACTCTGCACAGGTCTAAAAAGTATGCATAAGAATATACAAAACATTGTTTGCATTTCATGGCAATTAAAGCAGGCAGGAGAACTTGGTTATGGTATTTGGACATAGAAAATGTTCTATGTGTATATTATACAGAGAGCTGGAAAATGTCATGTTTGAAAAAAGAAAATCAAATTCAGATAAAGTAATATTGCTGAGTGAAATGGAAACTTTAATTTTTCACTCCTCCAAATTATCTCTCACAAGGCTTTCCCCACAAACTTGAGCATGGGAATCTAAAACAGAGAAATAGGAACAGGGAGGGTTAAGCCTACTGTAGCTTCATTCAATCCTTCCTGCTGTACAGCTTCTTTGCTGTACAAAAATTATTTCTGATATATTTACGTATATCATGTTAACTCATACTAATGTAAACTGCTTGTTCACTAATATAACTGTATTTCCAATAATGAAGTGGGTAATTAAATATTACATTGCATAATTACTATAATTTTGGTCCCAATTTCAGTCAAGACTTGTTTTCACACATTCATTGCTTGGCTGATGTTTTCCCCCTAATCTAGATTTACAGGCATTACAACTCTAGGCCTTGTGAGTAATATGCCATCATATTGTAGGACTACTTCATACAATGTATACACTAAATAGCTAGGATGAAACAAAACAGAGAGAAAAAGAAAAGTTTTGTGGATAAGCAGAATGTCTCTCAAAGAATGTAACAGGTGATTACAAATATTTATTTAAGCTTCTTTTATGTCAGAAAGGGACATATGGAAGTTTCTATTTTCCATTTGCAGCCAAAACTTGGTTTCATCCCCTAATTTAATTAAATCTGAAATACCAAAATGCATACTGTACCATGTTTGCCTAATTATGCTTTGAACAAACTTCTTCTCCATCTGTATGATCACCTGAATAACCAGATTTATATCAAATATGAATCATTATTTGATCACTTCATCACTTCACTTCGTTATTTCACTTATTCCCAATATCACTTCATTATTAGCTCTTATTCCCACACTCCTTCTCTCCCCACTGGCTAAAAACCAATTAGCATCAAGGAATCATAAAGTATATACAGGGTGTGGAATTTAGAAAATAAGGATTCTTTCAAGAAATGCTTTCCTCGCTTTAGAATACAACTGACCACCCACCTG